TTTGCATGTTCTCCCCGTGGTCACGTAGGTTTTTGTCCAGGTCCTCTGGTTTTACGTTGAGAGTATTTGGCTGCTACTATAAATTTCCACGTGAAAAGCCACTTCGTTGAGCTATCATGTGCGGCCAGGTAGCTATCTCGCTCAGTGGCCCTTACCTGGTAAATAAAAATAGTGTATAGTTTATAGATAGTTTACATGCCATTTTTTTTATATTGCCGCGCCGGGAGATCGCAGCGACGACCTCTAAATCACGTGAACAACTACAACACGGCAGCATTCCCCCTCCCCTTTGTGAACGATGCATTCCGTTGGCAATCCATTTGCAATCCAGTAACCATCCATTAGCCATCATTATTGCCATCTGGGGTTACCTGAGATATCCATCTGAGGTTATCAAAGTGTATACGGGGACGTTAAAAGCCGGGGGTGGAGTGTGAATCACCTATGTCGTGGACAGGGTGGCCCAAAAGTCAGGGTACAACGGGTTATTATTACACAGGGTGGCCCAAAACTCAAGACACATAGGCTATTATTACTGTACTGGGTGGCCCAAAAGTCAGGGCACATAGGGTTATTTAATTTATTTTAACATGGGCATTGATAAATTTGTATTATTTATCATTGAAGTTAGTATTCTATCTATAATCATTATTTAAATTTATTTTCTTCTTACTGTGGAGTCACCTCAAGTCCGTCGTTGACAAAACTTGACTAAGAACCCTGAAACATTTTTAAAAGTTAATTTCATTTAAAAACATTTGTAAAACTACATGATGTATTGATATAATTATAATAACCCTACATGCCCTGAGTTTTGGGCCACCCTGTACAACAATCAATGGTCCCGTATGAAGGCCGGGACGGCACAGGAGGGGGTGGTTGGCCAGCACCACGCCCACACAAGACAGAAAACAAAGATCCCCCATTTAGCCTTAACAGACTGTAGGGGCAAGTGCTGTTAGCGAGCACCTATGAAGGCTGGTAACGGTACACGAGGGGGTGGGTGGCCAGCACCACGCTCGACCGCCTTTGTCTCCCTAGTGGCAATGTTTACTCACTGCACCAGGTACTCATTTGAGGCTGAGTCGACCTAGGGGAGGCCCGGGACCGGTTAAGATAATCGTCACTGGTGTTGGCCGTGAGCGGGAATCGAACCCGTGTCGCTGGGTTCATAGCGCAGCGCTCTAACCGCTACACTATCGCTCCCCACACACACTTACACACACACAACAACAACAACCGCCATTCGCCACTAAGTGGCGGTGACGTCACCAAGACGCTTGTGCCAGGCCATGTGCACCTTGAGGCCACGTGAAGTGTCAAACGCCCGCTGGCAGGAGGTCACGGGGCAGACCCAGGTGTCACGGGTCGACTGACTGGCTGATGCACCACCTGTGCCCCCTACTGTGCCAACCTGCTGTGCTTTAGTCACCCGGCGTTCCGCTCGTTGTTGTGAGCGTCGCTCCTATGCCCTCCGTTGTTGTTGGAGGGCGACTGCCTCCAACTGCCGAGTAGCGTCCTTCACGAGCCTCCTCCACAGAGGCCGATCTTGACACTGCTAGGTACCAGTCATCGGCAAGTCCACTCAGCTCCACGTCCTCCTGTACCACATCACTCCATCTCTTCTCTAGCCCGTGCCGCGCCCGTTTAGCCCCCTCGATCCGGCCGAACAAAAGCTGTTTCGGCATGCGGTGGCTGGGCATGCAGGCTACATGACCCAGCCAACGCAGCCTTGCCTGCCGGAGGAGCTCACTGATGGGACCTTGCCCAGATCTTTCAAGGATTTGTGAGCTCCTCACACAATCAAGCCTGGTTAAACCCAGGATGGATCGTAGGCAGGCTAGCATAAAGGGGGTCCACGTTTCGCAAGCGTGGAGAAGGGAGGGAATAACCGTGGCCGAGAAGACCTAAAGCTTAGTGTGGAGCGACAGACCAGGTAGCTTCCACATAGCGTTACACAACCGATGAAATTATATTGCCGCTCGACTGATTCGGAGTGAGACCTTTGCTGTTAACTGGAGTCGGTCATAAGCACACTGCCCAGGTATAGGAAACTCTCCACTCTATCCACAACTGCCCCATCACCGATTGGGAGTTGTGGGGGTGGAGTGTCCGATGGTACAAAATATCCAGGCAGGTGCTTAGTTTTGGTGGGGCTGATGGTAAGGCCCCATCTCTTAGTGGCACGCTCCAGTCTCAGCAGCAGCGTCACCAACTCCTCCTCTGAATGAGCAGCTATTACCAAATCATCGACATACATAACGTGGTTGAGCAATAGGGAGCCATCCCTTGACTGCACCCGGGCATCGATCAGCCTCCCATTATATCTGTACCAAATGGAGATTCCCCCGGTACAGCTATTGAAGGCTTCACGAACTACGTGGTCAAAATAGATGTTAAATAATGTGGGAGCCAGAGGACATCCCTGTCGCACCCCAAGGTGTACAGGGAATGGCTCTGACTCCCGGCCACGTAGTTTTACTATCATGAAGGTCCTTAATGATCGTGAGCAGGGGGTCAGGGACTCCAAAAGCACGAAGAACAACCCAGAGCCCAGGCCTACTGATGGTATCATAGGCCTTGACCAGGTCAATAAAGCAGAGATGTAGGTCTTGTTGGAATTCCCTATACCTCTGCTGTAGCAGACGGATAGAAAATATGGCATCTGTGCAGGACCACCCTTTCCTGAAACCGCATTGGGGCTCCGCAAGCATCTCCTCAGCGTGCGTGGCATGTCGATGTTGAATAATCCTTATCAGGACCTTTCCCGGCACACTGAGGAGTGAGATGCCCCTGTAGTTCTTACAGTCTGTGCGGTCCCCCTTCTTAAAGAGGAGGACCACCAGGGCATCCTTCCAATCCTGCGGAACCCATCCAGTGGTCCAGACTGTTGTTATGATGTCATATAGGTCAGTCTGTGCACAAACGCCGCCCTCCCTCAGCATTTCGCTTGGGAGATCTTCTCTCCCCAGTGCCTTTCCTGGTCTCTTTCCTTCAGTACTTCCTCAATAGATGGCACCTCAGCCAGCCGCTCACATGGGGTGACTTCTTACAATATTTGAGGCACCGCAGCCTCAGCAGGGTCATCCCTACTTTGTTCCACGATGTTTTCCTGGCTGAGGGGTTTCCCCTCCACCACAACCTCACAGAAATGCTCAGCAAATCTGCAAACTTGTTCCTGGGGGTCGGAGATTGGAACACCGTTTTTTCCCCTAATAATGGCAATAGGTGTGGCGCTGCAGGTTACTTTTTTGATAGAGTTAACTAGAGATTTGTGATCGCAGGCCACTGAGGCAGACTCCATCCCCTCAGCAACCCCCGACTACCACCCATCCTTGCAATGCCTCACGGCTCCCCGAATCTCCGAGCGAAGGCTGCGGTAAGCCTCCTCATTCTCTGACATGGGATTCTGTAACCGATGACAGTGAGCCTGTCGCTTTTTCTCAGCTATCCTGAACACCTCCTCTGTCAGCCAGGGTCTCTGGGTATGTCTGGACCGCGTACCCAAAGCAGCCATTGCAGCTGCATGATTCACAGTCCTTAACCTCGCCCATTTACCCTCGACATCAGGAGGAGTGAGGGATGATGCCAACCCCAGCCGCAAGCGATGATGAAATACTCACTTGCAACTTTCATCAGCTAACTGAGACCAGGCCACTTTAGCTTGGAATGGGGTCCTGGGTGTACACCCACCACCGGAGTGGAAAAATGGCAGGTGCATCTTACAGATGACTAGTCGATGGTCAGAGGGCAGATCAGCTCCACGGTAGGTCCTGGTGTCAAGGACATGGGCTCGTATCTGCTGGTCCGTCACTATGTAGTCCAGCAGATGTTCTTGCTTGGACCCGGCATGGATCCATGATGTTGTGTGGATGCGGCGATGCAGGAACAGCTTCTTGGTAATTACAAGCCCATGGGCTGCACAAAAATCTAGCAGCCTCCTACCGTTGTTATTGAGCTGATCTGGCCCATGCCCTCCAATCACTCCAGACCAGGTGCCAGCATCATGACCAACTCGGGCATTGAAGTCACCCAACAAGATGACTCTATCCTGAGGGGCCACTTTAGCCAGCACCTGTGACAAGAGGTCATAGAAGGCATCTGACTCATCGGCTTTGCCTGCATCCCTCCACGGATATTCGTCTTCTGTGGGGGCATAAGTAACCACGAACACCACTCCTCGCCTCCGGTTGATGGGAAGGCGAGCTCAAAGTAGCCTGGGGCTTACAGCTTCCCACACCTCACCGCCACGCTCCCACACACCCTTCATTCTTTAGTTCAAAAGAAGAGCCACACCCTGTTGTTTGGCAGTCTGCTGCCCCGAGTAGAAGACTGTCCACCCCTCATGGTAGCAGGAGCCAGAACCGGTCCACCGGACCTCCTGAATGCCACAAAGATCCAGGCGCTACCGGTTCAGCTCCCGACAGAGGAGTGGCAGCCTCTCTTCCGCAGTGAGCGTTCGAACATTCCACGTGGCCACACGAAGTGGCTTTTCGTTGTTTCTGGAGGAGCCCCGAGGGTAGATATTCAATCTCCTGGCTCCGCCAATTGGGGTTTGGCCAGGAGACGTCATAGACGCCTGTCCCCCCGGGGCCTCCGGCACAATTTTATTATTTATATATTTAAGTCGTGGTTTCGTGGTAATTTTTTTAAGGTGGAGGGGTTACCAGCCCCTCACACCCGTCCAGAGCCCCTGTTTAGCCACTGTAGTGGTCACAGACACTGTCCACGACAGAGTTGCCCGTGCGGCACCGCGATGAGGTAGGGGGTTGTTTTTACACACAAAGATCCCCCATATAGCCTTAACAGACTGTAGGGGCAAGTGCTGTTAGCGAGCACCTACTTACACACACACACTTACACACACACACTTACACACACACACTTGCACACACACACACAGACACACACAGACACACACATACAGACACACACTTACACACACACACTTACACACACTTACACACAGACACACACACTTTCACACACTTACACACACACTTACACACAGACACACACACAGACACACACAGACACACCCACATGCGCGCTCAAGCGCTCCCTTAGGTGTCGCGAGAAGGCGCTCGACAATTTGCGCACGAAACATTTTCACCGCACGCGCTGCTGGAGTCGCCGTTTCCGCTGCTGTCGCCGCCGCTGCTGCTGCCACGACTGCCAATCAACCTCTCGCGATGGTGAGTCGAATTCCACTCACGTGGTCCTGCAGAGGCACACGGTCAATATTGTTGTTGTAGTAATTGCGTCAATGGCTCAACGATGAGACTTGCAGGGGAGGAGCGGTGGTGCAGTGCTTAACGCACTGCGCTCTGAGTCCGTTTTCCCCGAGTTCGATTCCCGACCACGGAACGCATCGGTGGTGTGTGACACCCGGTCTTGGGTTGGCTTGCCGCCTCCACTAACCGGCACTGACCAGCGTGGTGAAGTATGGTCAAACAACCCCAAAGAGCAATGCGGTCGTGTGGAGTGTGGCTTCATTTAACGGTGGATGGATGAAGGGTTGTGAGTTGTTTTTGTTGTTGAGAGGAGGTGCAAATAGATTTGTTTAAGTCCATTGAAAAGCGACTGAGCAGAGGCGCTGTGCAGAGAACAATGGGCGCTCTGGGTGTGTATGTTTTGTAGATTTTAATCTCTACGCAAACAGACAATCGTGGACCGGGTGACCGAGTCACTAATGTCAACCTCGAGATTTTCCATGAAGGCTGGGAAGCTGAACGTGTTTTTAACTCGTTATCGTGAAATCTCCGCTTTTGTAACGGTAACCAGAAATATCATTGCAACCAAAAATATTCGGGTGTTTTCTCGAATTATCCCCCCCTTCCCCCACACCGCGCAGCCTATTATACATGTGTAATTGCTAACGAATGATGTTCAGAGAGTGCCCGCTTATTCAAACGCATCCCTCACTTTTTTGAGACCAGAAAAAAATATTCAAGTGAACCATAACCCCATCTGGTGACCAAATAATGTCGTTATTTAATTGTGGCACTGAAACGTGGGGATTACGCATCACGTCTCGAGCAGAAAAAAGCACACTCGTGGGAGGAGGAATGCATCGGTCTCCGCGACGTTACCACCAGCATGGTGCGGCGGGTGAATGCAGGCGTCCGCTGATGCGCATCGATCAAGGCACACACAACGAGGCTTGATGGCCCAGATCATCACATGCCAGGACCCTCCTTTATCGCGAGCGTTGTGTTGAGACTCTGTGAGGTTCTCTTGGATATAAAGGAAGATGAAGGTGCAGCCCTGCAATTACTTATTCACGACGTCACTGCATTTTGGCCTACTCTTCCACGTTAACCAGACGTCTCGGAGGAGGTGGGAGTACCCACATTTTACCCCACTACATGCCACCTGCTGATTTGATCAAATGTGCTGTACCCCTGTGTACTGCTGCAATGAAGAGGTCGCCATCATTCCAGGCTGCTGACCACGACAGCACGGCACCAGCAGCATCCCGTTGGATAACAACATCGCATTAGTGTATTGCCCTTGGAGCGGTGGCGCTGTGGTTAGCGCACTGCGCTTCAAAACCCAGCAGTGGCGATTTATAACTGGACCGGCCCTGGATCCGCCCAATAACAGCCCGTGATAACCAGTGTGGTGAAGTGTGGTCATACTCTATAACCAACAGGGTGTGGGAAGGCCTTCATCCAGCGGTGGATTGACAAAGGGCTGTCCCATGATGCATGTTCTTCTACTGACCAGCCAAATGGAGAAGGCCGTCAGGAGGGCATGCTTTGTCACCGAATCTGACGTGGGGCGGACGTCTTGGCGTTGAGCAGATGGGCACGTCTGTGGTCATCGGTGCGTGCAGCTGTGGTGCACCTGCAGCCAGGGCCGGATTAACGCGTAGGGATTTCGGGAATATCGGGCACCCATCAAACTCAAACGGGCACTGCCTCTATGCAGCATCTGCCCTGTGACGATCGCCTCGCCCCACCTGATCTCGCCTCTCTCATCTCGTTCAATGTCCCCCCGCTTCTCTCTCTGTTCCTCCTTGTCCACGTGCACACAATCTCGTTTCCGGCCCTTCTCCCTGCTTGCACCCCTCCACTGGAATCAACTTCCCTTGAACATTAAGCAGCACTGCCCATAGACTCAACACTGCCGATAGACTCAACACTCCACCATAGACTCAACACTTCGCGGAGACTCCCACCTGTACATTAAGCAGTCCCCCGCCTTAACCTCATTTCGTGTCTCTCTCAAAGCCTCAAATCTTATCCATCGCCCATTCCCTTCCTCTTCCCTCCCCTCGCCGCCGACTCCTTTCCATCCCTCCCCGGTCTTTTCCTAACCACCACGCGCCGCTCTATCGTAGCCATCCATTCCTCATCCCTTGCATGCCACTACCAGCTAAATCATTTATTTGTTCATACCGGGTTATTTTTTATTGCGTTAAACGCCTTGATGAAAGACGCTCTATAAATATAAAATAAGATTGGATCCTCTCGCAAGGGCGGTGGCAGTGGTGACTGTGGGGAGAGGTGGTGCAGTGGTTAGCACACTGCGCTTCGAACCCGGTTTGATTCCTGGTCACGGTGAACACCGTTGACGATTATCTGAACCGGTCCTGGCCCTCCCCATGGTCGATTCAGCCTCAAATAGGTACCTAGTGCGGTGGGCAAACATCGCCACTGGGGAGACAAAAACTAAACTCTACTCTTTGGTTCTTTCGGTAAAGTCACGTAGGTAGAACAATAGCAGATCACGACGTTTCTATCGCAACATAAGCGACCGTCATCAGGTGGAACAGATACAACAGGAGAACGTCGTGATCTATTATTTTTTTACCTACGTGACTTTGCCGAAAGAACCAAAGAGTATGGATTCCTGCAGTCACGAAAGCTTCAAATCAAGATTAAACTAAACTATTTTGTTATTTTACCAGGTAAGGCCCACTGAGCTATGAAGCTATTTTTCAGAAGCAACCTGGCCACAAATGATTGCTCAATGAAGTGGCTTATCACGTGGAATTGTACACCAGGGCGCAAAATCCTCTAAACGCGTGGCGATTCTAAATGTGGAGAGAAAGACCGGAGGACCCGGAGAAAAATCCACGCAACCACGGGGCTATGCGTGGTGCAGGCCACCCACCCCCTCGTGTGCCTTCCCGCCCTTCCATAGGTGCTACTCGCTAACAGCACTTGCCCCAACAGTGTGTTAAGGCTATACTGGGAGAGGGATCTTTATCTTTGGTGGTGACTGTGCATGACCCCCGAGCAGTACGGATTCATCAACACGTGCCTCAAGTCGCTGGTCATGGAGAAGTTCGGAGAGGAGACTTGGGAGAAGCTGCGGTAAGTGTCGCCGCGTCCCCCACTCACCCCTCTGCCCGCTCGTCAAGACCGCTGCTGCTGCTCTTGACACATTCCATTCGGAGGCACTGCCTTTTCGTGTTTCATGTGAAAATACGATTTTTTTCATGATCAGTCTTTGAACGATTAAAGGCAGGTGAAAGAGGAAAACAACGTGAAATAATTGTCTTTCCAAGGGGCAGGTTGATTAAGCTGCGTGTGATTTGTTGATGGGGAATCTGACCGCCTGCTGCAAGTGCGGCAACGGATAGAGCTGTGGGTTTGCAATCCAGAGGATCTCTGACCGCTCAGCCACCCAGCCGACTCTTGTTTTATATTTATCATTTAAGTAAACTATTAACAAAACGAAACTTTTTTTTATATTTTGCCATATATCTCTTTTTGAGAAGCGAAGTGACTATCACAAATGATAGCTCAACGAAGTGGGCTTATCACTTGGAATTGTATAGCAACCAAATGCTGTGAACGCGTAATGTTGATTTTAAATATGGAGGGGGAAAACCCGGAGGACCCGGGGGAAAATCCACACGACCATGAGAAAAGAGACACCGCACTCCAAATATAGAGCAGGCGTCAGTGTCGGGATTGAACCCACGACCTCATGTATACCAGGCAAGGTAGTTAACATCTCCTAGCCACCGTGGAACCCTATGACCTTGACCCACCATCATCTTTAGCCATGATCAATCTACTGCTGAATAAAGGCCTTCCCAAGCTGTCACCCACCGTCCCTACGCAGTCATGCGATGCAACAATCCACTCGCGTTGATCCAACCGCTCCATTTCCGCGTTGGATCGATTTTCAGATGCGTTCCCCTGTTTGGCTGTCCCTCGGCTCTCCTCCTCGACCGGCCAACCATCCCGTCTCCTTACCACGCCCGCGTGCCCCTCGTCACAGTGAAGACGATGCCGCTTCATCCACCTACGTTCTCTGATCCACGTCGTTCTCCTCCGGTCTCTCAATGTAATCGCAAGCGTCCGCATCTCCGTGTGCTCCTTTGTGCACTTTTGAGCGTCAATTCCATGTTAAAGCTGGTAGAGGTGAGCACTAATGTAGGGTATAATAAATGACGAGTTAACACCTTTATTGAATTAATGAAGAAGATAACAGCTTGGGGAATGAGACGATGGCCAGGAATTCTAGAAGGGAGCAAGCAGAAAGTGTTGTGACCGGCAGTGCGGTGGGTGGGTGGTGAGTGGGTGAGTGCATGAGTGTGTGTGTGTGTTGTTCTGACCTGCAGTGTTGTGAGTAGGGGGGTGAGTTGGTGAGTGAGTTGTTTTAACCTGCATTGTTTTTTGAGTAGGTGGGTGGGTGAATGAGTTGGTGAGCGTGTTGTTCTGACCTGCAGTGTGGTGGTGGATAAGACGACACAGTCAGTGTATGGTAGAGACGAAGTCCTCAACGTGGGTTGAACAGAGTTAGGGGTAGCAGTGTCTGTGACCTTTGTACCAATCCATAACGCCTGTCTCACCGAGTACACAGAGCAACAATACTAAACTATGAACTAAACTATGTTTTATTTTACCAGGTAAGGCCCACTGAGCTATTCAGATCTTTTCCAGAAGCGACCTGGCCACAAATGATAGCTCAACGAAGCAGCAATATACTCTCAACGCATGTTTTTAAATGTGGAGGAAAGTCCACACGACCACGGGGAGAGAGACACCGCAAACTTCCAGTATAGAGCAGGCGTCAGTGTCGGGATTGATCCCACGGCCTCCTGTATATCAGGCAAGGTAGTTAACATCTCGCCACCGCGGCGCCCAATGGGTGCAGTACGATGGCAACCCCTCCCTGGTTAACACGCGTGCCTCCTGCACCCATTCACCACGCGGAGTCGCGGTTGTTTCAACCAGGCCACTCCCCATCCCAGCGCTGTCCACGCTGGGCCTTGCTTAGCCGCCGACGTTTGGCGGAACCCGGCGCCTCTCGGGTGACATCTTTTTTTGCCGTAGCCTGCGCGCACGGTGGTGGCCAAAACGTGGCGGCTCACGCGGTTCCCCTTGCGGTAAATTTGAGATCGGAAACAAGGAGACTTCTTCGCAATTTTGGCACACCGCTCGATGAAACTGGTCGTATGTTGTAATCACAGGCCAAACGTAACTGTACTCGAATTGTAAATGTTGTTGTGGGTTCATTCTCCAACACACAACTGGTGTGCTAAAGTGTTAACTAATTGTCACGTTTTGTTTACGTGACAAACCTTACTAATTGGCTATGTGAGGTGGTGGCGGGTTAACAACACATTTATATGTACGCGATATAACCCCCAAAAAACGCCTTTATTATGGTTAAATAATTAACAGACATTTTCAACCAAAAAAGTGCTCGTCCTATGGATGAACTCACACCCGCCATAGGAATGTGGAATTTACACCACTGACCTAGAGCTCATTCGAGCAGGAAGTCACTCGCAATTTGACCGTCAAGCACGGGACGCTTTGTCCATTCACTTGTGGATGAAGGCCTCCCCCACACTCTGTCAATCATGGGCGTTGTTCGACCATACTTCCCCAAGCCAGTCAGCCAGTGGGGGTGGCCTAGGACTGGCCAGTCCAGTTACCACTCGCCACAGATGCTAGGCCACAGCTGGAAATCAAGCTCAGACGAGCGAGTCCATCGCACAGCACAGCACGCTCGCTAACCACGGCGCCACCGTTCCAGCGCTCTCTCGTGTCGATGACAGTGATGGTGTTAACGGGCTCCCACCCGCTCCTCACCCCCCACCCTGGGCCCTGTAGGACCATGGCAGAGACGCAGGACACCTTCATGACCTACACGGCCTACAACGACAACATCACTATGCGCCTGGTGACGGAGGCGTGCACTCTCCTAGGTGGGTGACCCACCCCCCCCCCCCCCCCCGAACGTGTCCCGTATTGTCCGGCACCCTCACCCCAGCCCAGTGGTGCAGTAACGACATCATCATTGACGTAGTAACGACATCATCATTGACGTAGTAACGACATCATCAGTGGCGTAGTAACGACATCTTCAGTGGCGTAGTAACGGCATCATCATTGACGTAGTAACGACATCATCAATGGCGTAGTAATGGCATCATCATTGGCATAGTAACGACATCTTCAGTGGCGTAGTAACGGCATCATCATTTACGTAGTAACGACATCATCAGTGGCGTAGTAACGACATAATCACTGGCGTAGTAACTGCATCATCAGTGGCGTAGTAACGACATCTTCAGCCACGTGGTGACGACATCTTCAGCGACGTGGTGACGACATCATCAGTGGCATAGTAACTACATCTTCAGTGAAGGAGTAACGACATATTCAGTGGCGTAGTAACGGCATCATCAGTGGCGTAGTAACGACATCAGCAGTGACGTAGTAACGACATCTTCAGTGGCGTAGTAACGGCATCATCAGTGGCGTAGTAACGACATCAGAAGTGACGTAGTGACGACATCAGTGGTGTAGTAACTACATTTAACACGTAGGCTTTCTCGACCAATATCATCCATAAGAGGTTTTTTTTTTGGGTTAGATCGCGTAAATATATAAATGTGTTCTTAAAACCCACCACCACCCGACACAGCCAACTAGCAAGGGTTGTCACGTAAATAGAACGTGCCAATTCGTCACTAGTACAGCACACAGTGGTCTCGTAATGACATTTTCAGTGGTGTAGTAACGACATCTTCAGTGATGTGGTAACGACATCATCAGTGGTGTAGTAACGACATCATCAGTGACATAGTAACGACATCATCAGTGGCGTAGCAACAACATCTTCAGTGACGTAGTATCGACATCATCAGTGACGTGGTAATGTCATCATCCGGTTTGGGGGGGGGGGTAATCGATCAGGTGCGATCCCCAATATTGTGATTTGTCTCTTGGCATGGTCGCACCTCGAGGCTATTCTATATCGCGGCTCGTCTTGCCCTAATCACTTCATTGTTACGCTCACGGTCTCGAACGTTTAACACTGTAAGGGGCGCTTCGTTTTAAAAAGTTTTTGTTCTTTTACACTTCAGAGATTCAAAACTAATTTCTTTAGAACTGATTTTTGTGTTTGGTTGCCGATTAGCAAAGTAGACTACGTACAGTGTGAAATACGTTCAACATACATATGTAATGACGACTTGACACACTTCTGTTGAGATGCCACTTTGTTGAAGACACATTCACTTGACATTTGGCAGAGACCGCACTGTCATAGCCCCGAGTCTCCTGGGCATCTCCCTTATATACCAACACGAGGCCATGCCCCCCTTCTCAATCATTCTCACTGACTCTGGACACTCAGTCCACCCTTCCTACTCACAACCGATACCCCTGTCATTGCCTCCCGTAGCCACCAGTCCCTACGCACTCACAACAGATACCCCTGTCATTACCTCCCGTGGCCACCAGTCCCTTCACACTCACAACCAATACCCCTGTCATTACCTCCCGTAGCCACCAGTCCCTTTGTACTCATAGCTGATACCCCTGTCATTACCTCCCGTAGCCACCAGTCCCTTTGTACTCATAGCTGATACCCCTGTCATTACCTCCCGTAGCCACCAGTCCCTTTGTACTCATAGCTGATACCCCTGTCATTACCTCCCGTAGCCACCAGTCCCTTCGTACTCACAGCTGATACCCCTGTCATTACCTCCCGTGGCCACCAGTCCCTTCACATTCACAACTGACTCCCCTGTCATTACCTCCCGTGGCCATCAGTCCCTTCGCACTCACAACAGATACACCTGCCATTACCTCCCGTAGCCACCAGTCCATTCACACTCACAACTGATACCCCTGTCATTACCTCCCGTAGCCACCAGTCCCTTTGTACTCATAGCTGATACCCCTGTCATTACCTCCCGTAGCCACCAGTCCATTCACACTCACAACTGATACCCCTGTCATTACCTCCCATGGCCACCAGTCCCTTCGTACTCACAGCTGATACCCCTGTCATTTCCTCCCGTGGCCACCAGTCCCTTCACACTCACAACTGATACCCCTGTCATTACCTCCCGTGGCCACCAGTCCCTTCGTACTCACAGCTGATACCCCTGCCATTACCTCCCGTAGCCAGCAGTCCCTTCGTACTCACAGCTGATACCCCTGTCATTACCTCCCGTGGCCACCAGTCCCTTCACACTCACAACTGATACCCCTGTCATTACCTCCCGTAGCCACCAGTCCTTTCACACTCACAACTGATACCCCTGGCATTACCTCCCGTGGCCACCAGTCCCTTCACACTCATAGCTGACTCCCCTGTCATTACCTCCCGTGGCCACCAGTCCCTTCACACTCACAACTGATACCCCTGCCATTACCTCCCGTGGCCACCAGTCCCTTCGCACTCACAACAGATACCCCTGCCATTACCTCCCGTAGCCACCAATCCCTTTGTACTCATAGCTGATACCCCTGTCATTACCTCCCGTAGCCACAAGTCCCTTTGTACTCATAGCTGATACCCTTGTCATTACCTCCCGTGGCCACCAGTCCCTTCACACTAACAACTGATACCCCTGGCATTACCTCCCGTGGCCACCAGTCCCTTCACACTCACAACTGATACCCCTGTCATTACCTCCTGTGGCCACCAGTCCCTTCGTACTCACAGCTGATACCCCTGCCATTACCTCCCATGGCCACTGGTGCACTCATACCGCAAGCTGACCTCCCTGTCATTATCTTCCGTGGTCACAAGTCCCCTCACACCGCATTCAGGCTCTATTGTCATTACACGTACATATATCTCGCATGGGTGTATCATTCATTATTATTAAGAATACGTAACTCGGGACTGGACCTTGAATGTCCCGGGAAGGCTTCGAGATTTCCTCGGACAGCTGCCTCCTCAGCAAGAGAGCGATGCTGCAGGGAAAACTAGGACAGGCGGCAAGGTTGATATAGCTTCACGGAGCGAGCGTTGTTAGCGAGCTCCTATTAAGGACGGCACAGCCCACCGAGTGGGCTGTGCGGCCGGCACCACACTCTGCGGTCTTTAATGTCGACCCTAGGGGAGGCCCAGGTAAACCGGGACAAGTTGGCAGACGCTACCCTACCGTAACCCTTGCCAGGCTACACGTGAGGGCTTTGTCTGTGTTGGCCGTGCCGTGTGTGACTGGGGGAGGGGGGGGGGCACAGGGGTTGGCCCCGAGGTGGTGCTCCATCTGTTCGGGGAGTACTTCTTCGAGTTCTGCAAGCGCTCGGGGTATGACCGCATGCTGCGCACGCTGGGCGGCAACCTGCAGGAGTTCATCGAGAACCTGGACGCCCTGCACAGCTACCTCACCCTGTCCTACAAGGTGAGTGTACACTCACCTCACCCTGTCCTACAAGGTGAGTGTGCACAGCTACCTCACCCTGTCCTACAAGGTGAGTGTACACTCACCTCACCCTGTCCTACAAGGTGAGTGTACACTCACCTTACCTCACCCTACATGGTGAGTGTACACTCACCTCACCCTGTCCTACAAGGTGAGTGTACACTCACCTCACCCTGTCCTACAAGGTGAGTGTGCACAGCTACCTCACCCTGTCCTACAAGGTGAGTGTACTATCTCCTCACCTCACCCTGTCCTACAAGGTGAGTGTGCACAGCTACCTCACCCTGTCCTACAAGGTGAGTGTACACTCACCTCACCCTGTCCTACAAGGTGAGTGTACACTCACCTTACCCTGTCCTACAAGGTGAGTGTACACTCACCTTACCTCACCCTGTCCTACAAGGTGAGTGTACACTCACCTTACCCTGTCCTACAAGGTGAGTGTACACTCACCTTACCTCACCCTGTCCTACAAGGTGAGTGTGCACAGCTACCTCACCCTGTCCTACAAGGTGAGTGTACACTCACCTCACCCTGTCCTACAAGGTGAGTGTACACTCAACTTACCTCACCCTGTCCTACATGGTGAGTGTGCACAGCTACCTCACCCTGTCCTACAAGGTGAGTGTACACTCACCTTACCTCACCCTGTCCTACAAGGTGAGTGTGCACAGCTACCTCACCTCACCCTGTCCTACAAGGTGAGTGTACACTCACCTCACCCTGTCCTACAAGGTGAGTGTACACTCACCTTACCTCACCCTACAAGGTGAGTGTACACTCACCTCACCCTGTCCTACAGGGTGAGTGTACACTCACCTCACCCTGTCCTACAAGGTGAGTGTGCACAGCTACCTCACCCTGTCCTACAAGGTGAGTGTACACTCACCTCACCCTGTCCTACAAGGTGAGTGTACACTCACCTTACCTCACCCTACATGGTGAGTGTACACTCTCCTCACCCTGTCCTACAAGGTGAGTGTACACTCACCTGACCCTGTCCTACAAGGTGAGTGTACACTCACCTCACCCTGTCCTACAAGGTGAGTGTACACTCACCTTACCTCACCCTACAAGGTGAGTGTACACTCACCTCACCCTGTCCTACAAGGTGAGTGTGCACAGCTACCTCACCCTGTCCTACAAGGTGAGTGTACACTCACCTTACCTCACCCTACAAGGTGAGTGTGCACAGCTACCTCACCCTGTCCTACAAGGTGAGTGTACACTCACCTTACCTCACCCTACATGGTGAGTGTACACTCACCTCACCCTGTCCTACAAGGTGAGTGTACACTCACCTCACCTCACCCTACAAGGTGAGTGTGCACAGCTACCTCACCCTGTCCTACAAGGTGAGTGTACACTCACCTTACCTCACCCTACAAGGTGAGTGTGCACAGCTACCTCACCCTGTCCTACAAGGTGAGTGTACACTCACCTCACCTCACCCTACAAGGTGAGTGTGCACAGCTACCTCACCCTGTCCTACAAGGTGAGTGTACACTCACCTTTACCTCACCCTACATGGTGAGTGTACACTCACCTCACCCTGTCCTACAAGGTGAATGTACACTCACCTCACCTCACCCTACAAGGTGAGTGTGCACAGCTACCTCACCCTGTCCTACAAGGTGAGTGTACACTCACCTCACCTCACCATGTCCTACAAGGTGAGTGTACACTCACCTCACCCTGTCCTACAAGGTGAGTGTGCACAGCTACCTCACCCTGTCCTACAAGGTGAGTGTACACTCACCTCACCCTGTCCTACAAGCTGAGTGTGCACAGCTACCTCACCCTGTCCTACAAGGTGAGTGTACACTCACCTCACCTCACCCTGTCCTACAAGGTGAGTGTGCACTCACCTCACCTCACCCTGTCCTACAAGGTGAGTGTACACTCACCTCACCTCACCCTGTCCTACAAGGTGAGTGTACACTCACCTCACCTCACCCTGTCCTACAAGGTGAGTGTACACTCACCTCACCCTGTCCTACAAGGTGAGTGTGCACTCACCTCACCTCACCCTGTCCTACAAGGTGAGTGTGCACTCACCTCACCTCACCCTGTCCTACAAGGTGAGTGTACACTCACCTCACCTCACCCTGTCCTACAAGGTGAGTGTACACTCACCTCACCCTGTCCTACAAGGTGAGTGTACACTCACCTCACCCTGTCCTACAAGGTGAGTGTACACTCACCTCACCCTGTCCTACAAGGTGAGTGTACACTCACCTCACCCTGTCCTACAACGTGAGTGTACACTCACCTCACCCTGTCCTACAAGGTGAGTGTACACTCACCTCACCCTGTCCTACAAGGTGAGTGTGCACTGCTACCTCACCCTGTCCTACAAGGTGAGTGTGCACAGCTACCTCACCCTGTCCTACAAGGTGAGTGTACACTCACCTTACCTCACCCTGTCCTACAAGGTGAGTGTGCACAGCTACCTCACCCTGTCCTACAAGGTGAGTGTACACTCTCCTCACCCTGTCCTACAAGGTGAGTGTGCACAGCTACCTCACCCTGTCCTACAAGGTGAGTGTACACTCACCTCACCCTGTCCTACAAGGTGAGTGTACACTCACCTCACCTCACCCTACAAGGTGAGTGTGCACAGCTACCTCACCCTGTCCTACAAGGTGAGTGTACACTCACCTCACCCTGTCCTATAAGGTGAGTGTACACTCACCTTACCTCACCCTACATGGTGAGCGTACACTCACCTCACCCTGTCCTACAAGGTGAGTGTACACTCACCTCACCCTGTCCTACAAGGTGAGTGTACACTCACCTCACCTCACCCTGTCCTACAAGGTGAGTGTACACTCACCTCACCCTGTCCTACAAGGTGAGTATGCACAGCTACCTCACCCTGTCCTACAAGGTGAGTGTGCACAGCTACCTCACCCTGTCCTACAAGGTGAGTGTACACAGCTACCTCACCCTGTCCTACAAGGTGAGTGAACACTCACCTCACCCTGTCCTACAAGGTGAGTGTACACTCAGTTTACCTCACCCTACATGGTGAGTGTACACTCACCTCACCCTGTCCTACAAGGTGAGAGTACACTCACCTTACCCTGTCCTACAAGGTGAGTGTACACTCACCTCACCTCACCCTACAAGGTGAGTGTGCACAGCTACCTCACCCTGTCCTACAAGGTGAGTGTACACTCACCTCACCCTGTCCTACAAGGTGAGTGTGCACAGCTACCTCACCCTGTCCTACAAGGTGAGTGTGACACTCACCTTACTCACCCTACATGGTGAGTGTACACTCACCTCACCCTGTCCTACAAGGTGAGTGTGCACAGCTACCTCACCCTGTCCTACAAGGTGAGTGTACACTCACCTCACCCTGTCCTACAAGGTGAGTGTACACTCTCCATACCTCACCCTACAAGGTGAGTGTACACTCACCTCACCCTGTCCTACAAGGTGAGTGTGCACAGCTACCTCACCCTGTCCTACAAGGTGAGTGTACACTCACCTCACCTCACCCTGTCCTACAAGGTGAGTGTACACTCACCTCACCTCACCCTGTCCTACAAGGTGAGTGTACACTCACTTCACCCTGTCCTACAAGGTGAGTGTGCACTCACCTCACCCTGTCCTACAAGGTGAGTGTACACTCTCCTCACCTCACACTACAAGGTGAGTGTGCACAGCTACCTCACCCTGTCCTACAAGGTGAGTGTACACTCACCTTACCTCACCCTGTCCTACAAGGTGAGTGTGCACAGCTACCTCACCCTGTCCTACAAGGTGAGTGTACACTCACTTCACCCTGTCCTACAAGGTGAGTGTACACTCACCTCACCCTGTCCTACAAGGTGAGTGTGCACAGCTACCTCACCCTGTCCTACAAGGTGAGTGTACACTCACCTCACTGTCCTACAAAGGTGAGTGTACACTCACCTACCTCACCCTGTCCTACAAGGTGAGTGTGCACAGCTACCTCACCCTGTCCTACAAGGTGAGTGTACACTCTACCTCACCCTGTCCTACAAGGTGAGTGTACACACCTACCTCACCCTGTCCTACAAGGTGAGTGTACACTCACCTCACCCCTGTCCTACAAGGTGAGTGTGCACAGCTACCTCACCCTGTCCTACAAGGTGAGTGTACACTCACCTCACCCTGTCCTACAAGGTGAGTGTACACTCACCTCACCTCACCCTACAAGGTGAGTGTGCACAGCTACCTCACCCTGTCCTACAAGGTGAGTGTACACTCACCTCACCCTGTCCTACAAGGTGAGTGTACACTCTCCCCACCTCACCCTGTCCTACAAGGTGAGTGTACACTCACCTCCACCCTGCGCCTACAAGGTGAGTGTACACTCACCTCACCTCACCCTGTCATACAAGGTGAGTGTGCACAGCCTACCTCACCCTGACTCCTACAGCGTGAGTGACACTACACTCTCACCCTGTCTCTACAAGGTGAGTGCTACACCACCTCCACCCTGTTCCTACAAGGTGAGTGCTACACTCTACCTCACCTCACCCTTGTCTACAAGGTGAGTGTGCACAGCTACCTTCAACCTGTCCTACAAGGTGAGTGTACACTCACCTCACCCTGTCCTACAAGTGAGTGATACACTCACCTCACCCACCTACAAGGTGAGTGTGCCCACAGCCCTACCTCACCCCGCTCCTACAAGCGTGAGTGTAACACTCACCTCACATGTCCTACAAGTTGAGCTGTACATCTATCCCCACCTCACCCTGTCCTACAAGGGAGATGTTAACACTCTCCTCACCCTGTCCTACAAGCAGTGAGTGATACACTCACCTCACACTCACCCTACAACGGTGAAGTGTGCACAGCTAACTCACCCTGATCCTACAAGGTGAGTGTACACTCAACTCACCCTGTCCTACAAGGTGAGTGTACACATCACCTCACCTCACCCTGTCCTACAAGCGTGAGTGTGCCCAAAGCTACCGTCACCCTGTCCTAAAGGTGAG